CTAGGCCTAGGCTAGCCCTACCTAGGCCCACCAAAGACAATTCACACACACCCTTGTACGTAGGCTAGGCTTTGCCAAAAATAAATATTGTACAAACAAATCTGTTTTATGTTTAGTTTCTGTTATGGCCAGTTACAGTCAAACAAAATTTGGGCTTGCCACACATTTCATATAGTTATTGAAGCTAAAAGAAATCCTAGTCCTAGGCTGCCAAAAAATATTGCAATTCTTTGCTGTGGCAGTTCATGGGCTGCGTATATAAATGATCCTAAATGTGTTTCTCAATGTGTTAAAAAGATGTACTGACTCAATTGTAGACCTTCTTTTATGTACAAGCCAAAACAGTGACATAAACTGAAATTGAATACCGTGAAGAGATATAAATCATGGACAAAAAAAAAAAAAAAAAAAATTCGACGAGGTTCTGTTGTAAAACATCACAATGTCTAGGCCTAGGCCTATAGTAGATACAATCCTGCCAAAAAAGGGTACAGCAAATTATTGCAAAGTTGAGAACATGCAAGCTTGAAAATTATCTCCAAAAGTGAACATTTCAAGTCAACGTTGTTTTGTCACGGAACAGACGCGTAAAAATGGCGGCGTAGCCATTTTGTTGCTGTGTATTTTAGACTGAGGTGGTGACATAAAGGAATGAAAAGTAAAAAGCATGAAAATGAACGAGTAAGACTTACCTGAGTGTAGTTGAGGCAAAGTGTAGAGCAGGATGAGTAGCTTTTTTTTAAAAAGATTAGAAAAAGAGGACAATGGTGGGTAATATGCGGACTACTGCTGCCCGGACTGTGAGAAGAATTATAATTTTTAAGTCCCAAGTGAGCAAGGTTTCCAGATAGTCGACAGGCTTCACGGCCAAACACACGCCATCTCACGGCCAAACTCGGCCAAACTTTTTTTCCGATATCGGCTAAAATTCGGCCAGATTTTAATCCGATAGATGACAACCGTGGGTACATTCATTTGAAATGCTACAAAAATTATACGAAATCAGCGGTCATTCGTTTGAAATTGAAGAAATTCAAATGATATACACAGAACAATGTTGAAAATAAATAGCATATGTTCTTTAGTTGCTGGCATGCAGGCCAATTCAGGGGAAATTCCAGAGATGTCCGAAAGGGGGAGGACAGGGGCCGAATGGGAGGAGGGGGGTGTGGGCGAAAGTGGGTCCGATCGAGATAACACCATCTTAGAAGAAATTTGTCTTTTCTAGACGCCCGAAAATAACCTGATGCGTTTGGGCGATCAATTTTCCTTTTCCTTTTTTTTTTTCTTTTTTTTTACACCTCCTTAATAAATCCAACTCTTCTATTTAAAATCAGAATATTAAGATTGATCTAAATTTGATTTAAATGTATTAAATATTAATGTACTTTGTAGTCGATCTATAGCAAACATTAAGGGCCTGTTATTGGCAAATCCGTGGCTTTCTTTAATTAGAATGAATTAGGTTACATAGTTAGGTAACACAAACGGTGTTAAATCTATGAAAACTTTAATAAATACATTTAGGCCTATATAAACTTTCGAAATTCACCTCTGAATGTTATTGTCGCTGTACTTAAAGCAATAAATCAATGTTGCTATCAGAATTATCTTCTTATTCTCATATGCAACGTAACTCCAGAGTAACTTCAAAGAAGTCTTTGCAAAACTTGCTTGAAATTGGGTTTCGTCAGACCCGAATGAGCATTGATATCGCTCTACATAAAGAACAATGCGGCACCTAGGGCAATACAATTCAAGTTGGCAATAATATATTAAATAAAGTACCGTACAGTATTAAATTTATATTCAAAAGA